ACCAACACTACCTCTTACTACCTCCCACATGTAACTTTTCTTGATCCCCTCTAGCTATAAGTGTTCCTCCAAATTACCTTGTATGCATTTTGTATCTATTTTTTAGAGACATCTCTACTCCAAATGCTCATATAAAGTATTTGAGCTTGATCTATTTCTGAGCTTGGATTGGTCTGATCCGCCATAGTTGGACACATTGTATCTTGACCCAAACATAGTGATGTCATTTTGGTACTATTTGAGAACAACAGACAACAACCGACTGATCTATTTTGTATGAACTTAGATATACACATGTTGTACCCACCCCAGTAGAATGTAAGGACAAGGGACCATGACATTTTATCTTTGTAATCCCAATGCTCATACAGTGCCTAGCACGTAGTAGACATCTAATATGTTAATGGATTGGTTCAGTATTTAAATTATTTCCTTAATGTGAATACTCCCCTCCACAGAGGCAAAATGCAACACCGTGAATGTCTTCTTCTTATTTGTGATTTTCATTCATATCTTCCTTTCATATAAGATCTACCCAAAGTTATTGGAAGCCTTCTATTTCTTTTAAGATTTTGTGAATACCAGTGCAAACCCTCAACTCTCCATTGGTTATCCCTCATTCTTGTTCCAAAAATGACTTACCTCCTTTTCTGTCTATAAATGTGACTGTGATATTTCTTAGGCTCTTTCTCCCATAGGTCCTGCTTATAGCTACCATGCATCTTTTTCATTCATTAAGCAAATATTTATTAAGAGATTGACTAGTAGATACCACAAACTAGATGTTGTATAGACTAACCAAATACATGTGTGAAACAGAACACATTATCTTTTCACCAAATACTACCCTCTTCCCAACTTTCTTATAATTGTCCAGGCTACCACCATCCTTCCTGTCACCCAGGCTTATAACCTCAGCATCACCCTCAATTCCATACATTCACTCATCTGAAATATCCAATCTCTTTGCAACTTTCCTATCTTCTTTCTTTTTTTATTTTTTCAAAATTTTTTTTAAACTGGGGCTTTTTTTTTTTTTGGCTAGGCAATGGGGTTAAGTGACTTGCCCAGGGTCACACAGCTAGTGTCAAGTGTTTGGTCTGAGGCCAGATTTGAACACAGGTCCTCCTGACTTCAGGGCTGGTGCTCTATCCACTGCGCCACCTAGCTGCCCCTATATCTTCATTCAATCACACAATCACCACCCTAATACAGGCACTTAGCATCTTTTACTTATACTCTTGCAATAGCCTTTTAACTTAAGTCTCTCCTAATTCCAATCCATTTTTCACTTGGCTGGCAAGGTGATTTTTTAAAGCGTAGATTGAATCTTCTTACTCTCCTACTCAATGAGCTTCAGTGATTCCCCATTACCTTCAGGATCAAATATAGACTACTTGGTTTGGTTTTCATAACCTGATTCCTTCCTTTCCAGGTTTCTTGTCACTTTACTCTCCTCTACACATTCTATTTGAACAACATTGGCTTTCCTGTATTTCCTTGAACAGGACACTCCATCTCCTAACCCTATTACTTTATACAAACTGTCCCTCATTACTGGAATATTCTGCCCTCTTATCTTTGCCTCTTTTTTTTTTCTAACTTCCTTCCAGAGCCTTTTCAAATCCTGCCTTCTCCAGGAGCCCTTTCCCAGTTTCCTTACCTGCTAATGACTTCCCTTCCCAGAGTGCCTTTCAACTACTTTATATATGTCTTGTAGGTACCTAGTTATTTACATATTGTCTCCCCCATGAGAATGTAAGCTCTTTTATGACAGGGACTTCCCCCACTCCCTGTCCCCCCTTTCTTTGTATCTCCAGTACTTAGCCCAGTGTCTGACATCTAATGAGCATTTAATAAATACTTGTTGACTTAATTGACTTGTAAGATACTGTGGAAGTGCTAGGAATACAAAGATTAAATATGATGACCCTTCCTTCAAAGAACTTAGATTTTACTAGAGCAGACATGGCATAACACCAGTAAGTATAATGAAAGCTATGAAGGAAGAGGAGGGAAAAGGAGAGATACAAATAAGTACTCCAGAAGAATTGGAGGAGGAAGAAACCACCTTCAGTTGTGAGAATAAGGGCAGAGTATAGAGGAGCTATCATCCGAGTTGAGGAAGAGAAGAAATTTCAAAGGCAGAGATCAGGTGGGAGTACATGACAGCTATGTCAGATTCAGGGAACAACTACTCACCCAGTTTGGCTGGAATGTAGAGTTTGTGAAGGGAAATAATGTTCAATAGGAATGGTAACTTGGAGCCAGATTGTGGAGAACTTTGTAAGCTAAGTAGTTTTTTTTTTTTTCCCCTAGAGGAAATATGGAGCCATGGAAGATTTTTGAGGAGGAGGGGTGTGATATGTGGAGGGCAAAACCTACCGTCAGACTTGTTCCTTAAGATTATTTTGGCAGCTATGTGAATGATGGATTAAAAAGGACAGAGACTTGAGGTATGGAGGGCCATTAGGAAGCTATTACAATAATCTGTATTAGAGATGAACAGGGCTTGAACAAGGTTCATTTAGCATCACTATGAAAATTGTTGTTTTAAAAAGGTAAGATTTGGTCATTTCTTTGTTAAAGTGAAAAATTATCCACTTCTCCTGCCTTAGTTTACCTGTTTCAAAAATCTAAACTTTTAAAATCAGTTTTTCTCAAATCAGAGGAAAATTTTTTGAATTCAATTCAAATACACAAACATCAAATACTTACTAAACCAGACACTGGTAGTCTCTGTCCTCATGGAACTTATAGGTTACTAGTGGGATATGACACATACAAGTCATATGTTAGGGTGGTAGCAGTTGAAATAGACAGATTGTGAGAGATTGCTGAGGTAGGATTGATAGGACATGATAGCTGATTAGATCTGAGAAATGATGGTAAGAGAAAAGTGAAAGATAACCCCAAGGTTTTGAAAATGGGAGCCAGCTTGAATGGGTGTGCTACTGATAGAAATAGCAATAGAAATTGCAAAGAATGTTTAGAGGGTAAGATAATAAGCTCAGTTTGGGTCATAATGATTCAGAAGTGCCCATGGGGCATCCCAAGGACAGATGTCTGGTCCATAGTTGGAGGTGAGGTCTAAACTTCTGTAATATAAACCTTTTCTTCAGTCATATTTATACAAATAAATGATCAATTAATGATAACTGATCTTATTGATGAGATTTAATTAAATCAATGAAACCACATTAAAATATTTGTGGACTGTAGGCAAATTGCAAACTAATTCTGCCCTTCAGCATCCCCTCTCACTCTAGTGCCACTTACTCAGGCTTCTAAGAAGACACTGGACAACTCGTTAAGCTGTATTTTTTTTACTGATTGTTGTAAAAATTAAATGAGTGTCAAAGATGTGGAAGTCTGATCTCTCTTCTAGGAAGGAACTGTACTGTACAATCCTAGCCTAAAGACACCTAAGGAACCTGGAGATCCCTTTTTCCTTGGCAAATGGCTTTTCTGTGATTCCACTCCCTAGTTTATGACACAGTTCTTGCTATCTGTACCCAGGGTGAGTGACTAAGCAGTGTTCACGTGATCTAGGGCTGCTGATCTTGTGTTTCTTTTAGTGCTTAGTGACACAAAAGTCTAATTAACAATGATGAATGTCAGTCTGTATCAAGTAAACTACAAACAGCAACCTATCTCTTGCTGCTGTTGACTTGGTTATTAATATATTAATCATATACTAAATATTTCTGAGTTGCTGGGGGAGTTGAACAAATAGGAGACGGGAGGCAGGGAGGATGCAGTTTCTGATGTAATCCTTCCCTTCCTTACATTTGGTGGTTATCTGTTGTTCAATGGCAGTTTTATACACATACAGTCTATGTTCTTTTCAAGCCTATTGATAGTCACTAAGACATTTTTATTTCATAGAATCATAGAATCTCAGAGCTAGAAAGAACTTCAGGAATCATTTAGTCTAACTGTACCTGAGCAATAATTCCCTTTCCAGTATTTCCTATATATAGTCATCCAGTCTCCATTTAATGACCTTGGTGATGGAAAACTCAATACCTCAGGAGGAAGCTCATTAACTCTTTACATGTATGGGGGATAGAATCTGATGTTAGTGGAAGATGCTTTATTTGAGACAAATTTTGGTGTAAAGTGAAGTGTAGTTAATGAGTCATTGTGTTACGGACAGAGCTTTACAAAATTTTAATTCTAAACTTAATTATCAAATAAAATGAGCATTTCTATGTACAAAATAGAACATAAAAGAAGATGTACACCAATCTATTAATATTTATTACATACAGCTTGCCTTTCCTTTTAAGTACATAGTAAATTCAAGATATAACTTTCAGAGTTGTCCTGCTTGTCTGTGTTTTCTGGCCTTCCTTATGTTTTTTTTCTCTCTAATGCATTAAAAATGCATTAATATCTCTCTCTCTCTCTCTCTCTCCCCTCTCCTCTCCTCTCCTCTCCTCTCCTTCCTCCCTCTTTTCTTTTCTTTTCTTTTCTTTTCTTTTCTTTTCTTTTCTTTTCTTTCTGTCATGGTTTAAGAGGCACAGCCGTGCAGTAGAAAGAGTAAAGAGTTGGAGTCTGGAGACTGGGGTTCCTGTCCTGCCTCTAATACTAGCTATTCAGATTATGGGCCAGGTATAATTAGGCATAACCACTCTGAGCTTCGCTTTCCTCATCACTGTCACGTAAAAGGGCGAAAGGGTAGTGGGAGGCTGTGTTCTGATTGCAGCAGCCGCTGCTGCCACTCCTTAAACTCTGCCCGTTTGGAGGCTAGGGGCGCTCTTCTCTGCGTTATAAAAAAGCCGAAGGGCAGGGCTGGCTGCTGAAAGCCAGAGAGCTGGGTATCCAAGGCTGTTTCAGAGTCAGTTAAGGTCTTCGGTCACACTTGTTGCAGACGCCCTTCTGCGAGTGCACACTCAGTGCGCCCCTCTCCAAAAGGCGGCGCTGCGCCATGCGCTGTGCGCCGCAGGGAATCCCCAGGGGCGGTGGGCAGGCATGGTGAGCGCGATTGAGCCCAGCTGCTGCTAGAAGGTCAGCGATCATCCTTCCCGCCCCAGGGCTTCAGGGGAGATGGGGCGCTACTCAGGCAAGACTTGCAGGTTGATCTTCATGCTGGTGCTCACCACTGGATTCTTCGTGGCCGAGCTGGTGTCCGGCTACCTGGGCAATTCCATTGCCCTGATCTCGGACTCTTTCAACATGCTGTCTGATCTGATCTCGCTATGCGTGGGAATAGGCGCCGGGTTCATCGCTCGCCGCCACACCCGAGGCGCCCAGGCCACTTATGGCTACCGGCGAGCGGAGGTGGTGGGGGCATTGAGCAACGCAGTCTTCCTCACCGCCCTATGCTTCACCATCTTCGTAGAGGCCATCCTGCGCCTGGCCCGGCCAGAGCGTATTGATGATCCTGAGCTAGTGCTCATCGTAGGTGCCCTGGGGCTGGCAGTCAACGTGGTGGGCTTGCTAATCTTCCAGGATTGTGCCTCCTGGTTCACTTGCTGTGGCCGACGCCGGCGACGTCTGAGTAGCAGCAAAAGAGAGCCTTCTGCCCCTCTGGACGCAGTCAGCGCGCAGCGGCCACCACCTTCTGCACCACCCGCTCTAGTATCGGGTTCGGATCCGGCCCTAACTCTCAGGGTGGTCTCCAGTCCTACGAAGGAAGAGATAGCGGCTGCTCTGCAGCCCAGTGAAGCAGGTGCCTTTCAGTTGCATCCTCTGGATATTTTACCTTTCTTTTCTTCTTCCCATTCAGTCCTTCCCTTTTCCTTACTCCCCCCTCTACTGATCCCCCATTCATTTCTTGGTTCTTCTATATCATTTTACTGCCCTCGGGTCAGTCTCTCTCTCTCTGTGTCTGTCTCTCTGTCTCTGTCTCTCTCTTTCTGTCTCTCTCACACACACAGAGTCAAAATTTGAGACAATAGCATTCTAGTTTGTTTTCATTTAATTTATGAGAATGATCTTTTCTTCCCTCCTTCCTCAAGTCTTGGGGGGCAGGAGAGGAGGGGGACTTTTTTATGGCCAATGTTTCCTTTGAATTGGTTTTAACGTGAGTGGAAGAGTGAACAAAGTCCACTGCTGATCACAAGGTTTATTTCAAGGCCAAAACACTGTTCTGTTTGTAGTGGAGGGAGGCTTTTGTGCCTACGTGGGTTCGTCTGTGAGTGGAGGATAAAGGGGACCTTGCTAATCTGATAAGGGTTTAAAAATTGTTTTTGAGTCCTTTGGTTCTTTTTGTTTGTAGAATTATACACAACACAAGGTTTCTTCTTTGAATGCAGGTGATTCCCTGAACACCCAGAATGAGCCTCAAGAGGAGATGAGCAAAAAACAGAAAAAGTCTGAAGCCCTGAATATCAGAGGTATGTTATCTTAAGATCCTTATGAAGAAAAAAAAATTGCCTTTTTGGCAATACGTACTTACACCATTGTTCTTCATTTCCATTTGGTTTTCAAGAGGGGAGAAGTTTGTGTGAAAGTATTCAAATTGTATTCACTAGGCCAGTCCTTAGTTTCTTACTTACTCATGGAATTTCTAGAGGGAGAGACTGGTTGTTAATGACTTATACTGGTCTGTGTTAGAGTGATACTGATGATATCCCATAGATGAACACATTTGCTAAATATTACTCTTCTTATTTTTTTGCTCCCTCCCAATTTTTCCTAATCCTATACTATACTTTATTTTTGGTAGAATCATACAAGCATTGTGGTTTAATGGAAAGACTACTAGATTTAGAGTCAGAGGACCTGGGTTCTAATCCTGACTGTCACTACCTGTGTTGATCTTGTGCAAGTCACTCAACCATTCTGTGCCTCTGATTCCTCATCTCTAAGAGGTGTGTGTGTGGGGTTGGACTAGATAACCTTTAGGTCACTTCTAACTCTAAATCTATGATGTATTGGAAGCTAATATTTTCACCAAATGACCACTTTTAGGTTCATTCTTTGGAGTGAATGAGACAGACCCCTACCCAGGGTAGTTTCCAAGGCAGATTTTTCTACAGTGGGTTTTTCCAGACCCCTGAGGCATTGGAATCCAAATTTTCTTCCCATGAAATTTTTTTCTGTAGGTCCTAGTGAAGGATGAGAGAGGATGGTTTGATGTCTTCATCATGTTGATATGTTCTCTCATCTGGGCTTATGACCCTACAGTCATGATTGATCTAGGCAGAGGTTTTAAACCTGGGGTCCATGAACTTGATATTTTGAAAGAAAAGATCTTGATAAATTTAATTCAATATAATTACTTTCTTTTTATATTTTTTTCGCATTTTAAAACATCTTTTTGAGAACAGGTCAGTATACTTCATGAGACTGCCAAAAATGACGTCCCCCAGAATTTGAGAACCCCTGTTCTGGGTACTTCTCATGTGGGTACAATTTTGCCTAAAGCCTGCCTTTAGCAGCATTAGAGCCTGCTTCTAAAGACTGGGTCGCAAAAGACAAAAATCTATCCTTGACTTTGGGAAACCTAGCAATGATTAGATTCAACTTTAGGCTGGACATGGTGATACATACATGTAGTCCATTTACTGGGGTGGCTGAGGCTGGTGGATCATTTGAGCTCTGAGCTGCAATAGGACTCAAACTGATCAGGTGCCCACACTAAGTACAGTACCAATATGGTGAGCCCCCCAAATTTTTTTGAGGAGGAGGAGCACAAGGCAGCCTAGGGAGTGGTGAAGCAGCCCAAATTAGAAATGGATCAGGTCAAAGTTTCTGTGCTGATCAGTACTGGCCCATTAGTGGCTGCTGTACTTCCAAACTGGACAAGATAGGGAGACCCAGCCTCAAAAAAGAAAAGACAAAACTTCAGATGGTTTGGAAAACACTGGAGTAAAAGATTTTTTTTTAAAATTTCATTTATTTATTTTTGGTGAGGCAGTCATGGTTAAGTGACTTGCCCAAGGTCACACAGCTAGTACGTGTCAAGTATCTGAGGCAGGATTTGAACTCAGGTCCTCCTGACTCCAGGGCTGGAGCTTTATTCACTACACCACCTAGCTGCCTTGGAGTAAAATCTTAATGAGCTACTACGAAGGGAAACTCTCCCCCAACTCTTTCCCCATAATGCATACAGTTTGTAGCATTGATAATTTCCCCAGTTATTTTTCCCTATCCAACAATTATTTAAGTGCCTACTATGTGTAAGGTTCTGGGTCTTGGGAATACAAAGACATAAGATATTCCTTATCCTCATGGAGCTAGCATGCTCACATAACCACACACACACACACACACACACACACACACACACAATTATCTCATTTGATCTAGATACTGGAGGCATACAACATATGAACATAGAGTGTGTGTCAGACCCCTGAGGCATTGGAATCCAAATTCCAAACCAAATTGTGATTTTTTTAAAAAATCCTAGATTTTGGGGCAGCTAGGTGGCACAGTGGATGGAGCACCAGCCCTAGAGTCAGGAGGACCTGAGTTCAAATCCAGCTTCACACTCTTACTAGCTTTGTGACTCTGGGCAAGTCACTTAACCCCAATTGCCTCGAAAAAAAAATCACATATTTGCTGTGATTAGGGAATTCACTATTACTAGGAGTCTTGTGGTGAATTATCCCCTTCCCCAATTAATCTTTAAAAATTAAATCTGTTTAGATTTGCATTTATTTAAAGTATCTTTAAGTAGAGTTCAGAAACACAATACTTAAACACTTATGGTTATTTTCCTTCAGTGACGTCATTTTATTCCCAAGATAAAACCCATCAAATCAGTAGGAGATCTATTATAATCCCTAAAATTACAGGTGGGGAGAGAAGAGCAGGAAGGTGATAATGATGCACTTGACAAAATTCCAGTAGGATAAAGAAACTTGAAGAGTGGCAAGGTTTCATTTTTATTTCTGTATTCCTAGTTATACTAGGGCCTAGCTAGGTGGTGCAGTGGATAGAGTGCTGGGCCTCATCTTCCTGAGTTCAAGTCTGGCCTCAGACACTTAGTAGTTATGTGACCCTTGGCAAGTAATTAATCCTGTTTACCTCAGTTTCCTCATCTGTAAAATGAACTGGAAAAGAAAATGGCAAACCACCTCAGTTATCTTTGCCAAGAAAATCCCAAACAGGGTCATGAAGAGTCGAGCACGACTGAAAATGACTGAACAGCAAATTCCTAGTAAGAGGTAGTATGGTATAATGGATAGAGAACTGGCCTCAAAGTCAGATAGAATTGGGTTCAAATCCCGTTCCTGACACTGTGTATCTCTGAGCAAGTCATTTAACCTCTCAATACCCCAGTTAACACTAAGATTTTAGGATACAAAACAATTGCAGATCTACCCTGGATGAGGGAGTTTTCTCAGTGGGAGTTCCTTGCATCAGTGAAATCATGGGTCCAGATGCCTCCCTTACAAACAGCCAACCTATCACTGGCCTTCTTTCTTTCTGTTCCTACATCTCCTGACTCCAGGCATTTTCACTTACTAGCCTCCAAATGAGCACCTCTCTCCCTCCTAACCTCCGCTTAGTGACTTTCTTGGCTCCAAGACTCATCTCAAATCCCACTATCTGTAGGAGGCCTTTCCAAGCTCTCCTCACCTCTGAAATTATCTTCCATTTGCCCCGCACATGTCTTTTGCATACACAGTTACGTTCGTGTTGCCTCCCTCATTAGAATCTGAGCTCCTTGAGGGCAGGGATCATGTCTTGGGTATCCCCAGCACTCAGTGCAGTACCTGGCGCTTAATAAATATTTATTGACTGCCTATCAGTTGACATAGTTCTGTTGCACATAATAATAGCTAGCATTTATATAGTGTTTTAAAACTTATAAAACACTTTATCCATTTTATATCATTATAGCAACCATGGAAGGGGGGTGCTATTATTATCCCCATTATACAACTGAGAAAATTGAGATAGAGTTTAAGTGACTTGCCCAGGGTCACATAGCCAGTAAAAGTCTGAGGCAGGATTCAAACCGAAGTCTTCCTGACTTGAAATCCAATATTCTAAAGGATATAATAAGAATCAATAAGTCTTTAAGCAATGTCTGTTGAATTGAATAATGGCAGTAAAGCAAAAAATACAGGTAAGCTTAAGAGATCTTGATAATATATTTAGCCAAAAACTCAATTAAGTGATTACTTGAAAATACAGATGTGGAAGTACCTATGATGACTTGTCAGTAGGACTGAGCAATGCAAGCCTTTGTCCTGTCTTGTCAGTGCCCTGCATACCCACACACTGAATTAAAGACCACAGCTACTGCAGTTGAGCCTTTCCAATACTATTGCTGTGAGCATCTCTTCAGCCTTTCTTAGGGCTATGCTAGAGGATGAGCATAGAACCACATGGAATCATTAGATTTGACAGGAGCCTTAGAGATGATCTAGTTCTGCCCCCTCATTTTCCAGAGGAGGAAATTGAGGCCTATAGAGGTTGAGTGACTTCCCAAAGGTCCCACGGCTAGGTAGGTGGAACAGCTAGAACCAGAATCCAATCTGATTCTATTCCCTTAAGAGTTCACTGTAGGTTATAGGCTCATGACTTGAGGTACCTACTCTCCCTCCCCCCAACTCTTTCCCTACACTGCACACAGTCTGCAGCGTTGTTGAGTTTTTATAGTGTAAGCAGCTGTTTTAAAAGACAATATTGTGACCCCAGAACTGGGGAAGTGTCTCACAGAGCATCCTGTTTATAAAAAGTTGTTTTCTTCTACATTTTCACTCTTGTCTCTACAATCCTAATTCTAATTGAAATCAGAGATTATGTTGGAGCAAATCCCACATCTCTCAGACTCCATCTTCTTCTCTAACTTGAGTCTACAGGGAAATTGAAATCCCAAGATTGGTAACAGGACCCTATGTCATGGTTCATAGGATCACAGTTTTAGAGCTGGAAGAGACTTTATAAATCTACCTTCTTTAAACCTTTCAATTTACAGATGAGAAAACAGGGCCAGAGACGTTAAATAACAATAAATATCACACAGGTGGCAAGTAGCAGAGTTGGGATTTGAACCCGGGTCCTTTGACTCCAAATCCAGCACTTTCATACTGTACTATTCTGTTATTTAAGTTGTAGGGTCAGGCAGGATAAGAGGTAGGAAGGTAGAGTCTGAAAAAGAAAATAATGAACATTTTTATCTGAGGAAAATATTTTCCATCTTCTAGTCTGTAACCAGATGGAACTTAAACATATTTCAAGTTTTTTGGAAAATCACTTCCACTTTCTCTTAATGTCTCTTCCTCCTCATTTTATTTTAGCTCCAAAGTACTTTTTAATTTCATAAAAATACACAAAGTGGTAGGTATGACATGATGACTTAAAAGACTCTCGTAGTTTATCAACAAATTCAATAAAATGTATGACTCTCCCAAGTGCTAGATAAAGTAATCAGAGCAGAGATGATTTCAAAGTCCAGGAGTGTTACTTGATACTAATTCATGATTCATGACTGTATAGTTTCTTTCTTTCTTTCTTTCTTTCTTTCTTTCTTTCTTTCTTTCTTT